TATATGTGTGTGTGTGTGTGTGTGTGTGTGTGTGTGTGAACAGAATTTGATGCAAACAAATATAGTTTTTTAACCACAAAATTGTGGCTAATATAAGTATTTGAAAAATAATTTTGTAGAGTAGATAAAATCGCCACGCTTAAAAAGTATGGCCATAAGGATTGTCAATCTGGCGTTGTTACTAATAAATATTGCTCTAGAAGCCACACTTTGTAAGTGTAGCCTTTAACGTGACAAAGATCACGCTTCATAAGTGTAGCCTTATGTCATAAAAGTGTGGCTATATGAGACAATATAAGTGTGGCCTTTGTACCGTATCGATCACACTTTTAAAGCGTGGCTTCTAAGGCAACACCTACAAAGCGTGGCCAATAGTTAAAGGTTACGGTACTTTAGGCCACCCCAAAAAGCGTTGCCTAAAGTTGTAAAGTGTTGCCTTTGCCCAAACGCTACACTTCTTGGCATCTTAGGCCACACTTCTCAGGGGTGGTTGTAGGTCTAAAATGTTGTAGTGTAACCAAAGTCATTGCAGTTTATCTTTACAAAATTTTCAAATTCAAGAGTAGCAATTTTATGAAGAATACTTGTAGCGAGATAGTGTATACCTTCTTAGTTTGATAGTAATAGTTACTGGTACCGATGTTAATGCTTTACTTTCACACTTGGATTATTGTTTATGCAAATCAAGTCACACGACAAAGCAAAAGGTCAACTAATTGTGTCTATTGAAAAAAGAGAAAAGAAGAAATGGGGTCCAAGCTCCATGATTCAACTCATGTAGTGGTGGAATTTAAAGGTCTAAAGTATGTGGGGTCCTTCCTTTTTCTCTATACCAAAAAATGTACTAACTATTTGATTTTCGTTATATCCATCGTCGTTTATGTTGCTGTTGCACTAATAAATACATGATATCATCTTTTATATATTCACTAATATTGTTTAACTATAAAAAATAATAGTTTAATACATAAGATATTTCACATTCATGTAGGGTCCGAAAATAAACCACACCTTGAAGGTTATGATAGTTTATCAGTTGTTCAATTATAATTAATTATATATAATTTATCACTTAATTAACCATAATATATCAATTTAATTTTATGTATTCGTGAAATATGATAAGTTTATATCACTTTTTATTGCATTTATTGAGAAAGGGTGCTGCTATTATGAAGAGTACAGCTTAAATTATAATGCCCATAATATCAAAAAAACTTTTAAACTATTAGAACATCCTACATATATGTAACTTTATAAATTTGAAAATAAGATAAATTGACTACTATAACATGAAAAAAGTTGCTTGGAGGAACTTTCCCCAAACCAAAAACAAAACAATCCTTATTTGAATTCTCATTTCATACGTAAAAAATTCCGACCATGGTGAGATTTGAGCACACCGTAATTGAAAGTGGTATTGCTTTTTCTTTGTGAGTGAGACTGAGAAGTGAAAGTTTACCAGACAAAATAAAGGAGAGGCCAATGGTCATGCGAGAATATCTTAGTAAGGAAGGAGATGGAGAGTCCAATAATAAGGATGGAAGTTTCCCACGTAGAATCCTTTTAACTTTTTTATTTTCCCCATGTGGAGTCATTAACTAATAAACATATTTTTTTTCAATTTTGAATTTTCTTAAATATTACAACAACAATAATTACTACACTTTAACCCTTCGGGGTTGCTCAGTTGGTTTGGAGGGTGGTCATCAATACGGATGACCTGGGATTGAATCCCTCCTCAATGTCTCCTGGGTTGAGCCTGTCGCGCAGAGCTTGCCTAGTGCGGTTTACATCCCCTATATGGTTTGCAAGCTATTATACAGGGGGAGGTTTACCCAGTGCACACAGAGTGCTCACTCGAAGGACAGAGACTGTAGCAGAGGTTATAACGATTGCGAGTTTCCCTCTTACCAAAATAATAATAATTACTACACTTTAATTTTAAAGTGTCGAAGGCCGATTACATAAGTTCTCACTATTCAGTAAATTTTATACTTGGCAGAATTCTTTTTGTAAATTGTCAAGTTTTATGTTGTTTGTTGCTTACAAAAATTCAATTCCGATATTTATTCAAAAGTCAAACTTTAGTCATTTCTAGCAACTTAAGCTTTCAAAAATGGAACTAAGTATTCGAATTCACTTCCAAAACTTTCGAAACCAAACCAATCATCCTCACAAATTACAAAACCAACATACGGGAAGCATCAAACAGGAGACTGAAGCTCAAATATACAAAATGACTGATCAGGTCACTACATTCAACATCATAAAATTAGGATGACATGAATCCGATGCGAGAACAGAATGCAGAGCTTATGCAATGATGGAAAGCAACCAAGTTAAAATGCAGAACTTCATGATGAAGCATATGACAAAATCTAATGAAGATGATGAGACTGAGTCTGATGAGGTGTAGTTTTGTGGTTGTTTGTTAATGTTAAGATGTTTAACTTTATTGTGAAGTTTAGATTTAGTTGTGGTAGTCATTTAGACTTGTTTTGAATGATAGTTGAATACTTAGACTTGATTTGAATGGTGTTTGAATTTTTAGACTTTTTTTTTTGGTGGAAGAATTTTTAGACTTGATTGAATGAGGTTTGAATATTTAATGTTTTAGTTGTTTGAATTCTATGAGGTTTGAAATGGTCAGGACTCAGGATTGATGTTTGGGTGAATTTTTAGTTTCTGGTTGTTGGTTTTGATTTGGCAGGTGGTATAGCTAATAAAATAGATAAATGCTATCAAAAAATACATAGATTTTCGACTAAAGTAGTAGCAAAAATCCATATTTTCCCCAGAAATATGATTATTTTCAATTACTGCAGTCGACTTTTAACATATTTTTCCAGAAAATTGACTATTTCCAATTACCGTAATCGAAAAGTTAAATAATTTTTTATATTTTTATTTAAATATTTCAACCACTATAATCGAAAAATTTAATAAATAATTATTTATTTAAATTATTCAATTATTATAGTCGAAAATATTTAAACAAATAAATAACTAATTATTTAAATTCTTGATTGTAGTAGTCGAAATAATCGATCAATCTCTAGTTGCATCAATAGTTAAACCCTCCGAGTATGGTGGTTGGAACTTTCTGACTGCAGTAGTAGAAAGTTCTTGTTTTACCTTTAATTTATTGATTATGCTAAAACCATCAGAATTTACCAATTTTTGGCTACTCTCCAGCAGTTATAGCAGCCAAAAAACTCAATTTTTAGTAGTGATAGGATCACACACGCCAAAACTTTGTCTGTCGCGTTACGTCGCGTGTTGGACCGGATTGCCACTAATAAAAAAGTCATAACTTCTTGTAGGAATATACAAATGACAAATGGTTTTAAGCATTAAAAATTAGACCCAAAGAGATATCATTTGATGTATCGCTGACAGCTCAATTAATTATGAGCTGGAAAATATGATCATTTGAAGTTGGGTCTTGTGCAACTATAATCTTCCCCCCTAAAATATTTTCAATATGTTCTGCACCACCTCTTTCCCCTTCTAAACATCTTTACTACCTTCCAAGTATGAGATTTCAGTATTATACGTATTTATAACTTTTTGAACACCTGTGAGTCTAGCTTAGGGCAACAAGAACGTAATACGCTACGGCATTATCACAGAAAAAAAAAAAAAAAAAAAAAAAAACAGGACACTACAGAAAATATTTTAACTTTAAAGCATTTATTTTATTCTTTATGGCATGCATTTACAGCCACATAAATCTAATGAGTTGATCACAAGTTCTAAAAAAATCATTCTGAAAACTCCGTAAATAATTAAACTATGCCACATCAATTAAAATAAGATGAGTATAATAATAATGAAAAGAAACCCAGCACTATTAAACAAGTCATTGTGTCCCAAATCAATAAAACAGGAAGCCCAATGTAATTTGTACTCCTTATTGCCTGCATATATGTAAGCTTATAGTATCAGATTGTCATTTCAAAGTTGCCTTTCTTTCTTCATTTTGTTGTGTGCTTTCGCATTACTCTGCATTAGCATAAGTATTAAGTAGTTCTCACCAATTGTGAATAAACACTAAAGATATGCTTAACAGTCTGAACATCTAAAGATATGCTTCCGCAGAGGAGGAGCATTTGGTTAATTTTCAAAGTACAGTGACTAAAACTCAAATTGATTATCTTCTCCTCAAAAGGTGTAATAAAGGGATATGCGAGGATTACAAGATTATACCAAGGGAGAACCTTGCGTCACAACATAGGCTCTTGGTGATGAACGCCGGTATCATGACGAAAAGGAAGAAGAGGTTTGTATAGGATCAATCGAGGATTAGGTGGGGATCCTTGACGATAGATAAAGTTCAAGAGTTGGAGGGGAGGTTTCTAGATATGGGAGCTTGGAGGAGTAGCGGGGAGGCTAGCGATATGTGGACGCCGACGGCGGACTGTATAAGAGAGGAGGCGGGAGAGGTGTTAGGGGTCTCGAAGGGTTGCTCCGGTAGGCACAGAGGCGACTGGTAGTGGAATGACGTGGTCCAAAGTAAAGTGGAAGTAAAGAAAGTGGCATACCTTATATTAGTGGAGAGCACATACGAGGATGAGAGGAGAGCGAATAGGAGAAGATATAAGGAAGCTAGGAAGGAGGCGAAGTTAACGGTCACAGAGGCTAAGACTGCAACATCTGGTCATCTGTACGAGGATTTG